CCATATGGGCAAAATGATCATTTGGGACCTTAAGATGTTGGCCTTCAAACATGGCACTCTCCATTGATTTCTAAGAGGAATTTTAATTACACTCCATTTTATCTTAGGCATTGACCTTGTAACTGAATCCCAGAGAGAACCAAGACTCTTTGTGGCAGTACCATGGGACACACAGAAGTAGCCTACACCCTGGCTCTGGAAGTTGGGGATTGCCTCCTAGAAGGGCCCCTAAGATCTTGAGGGTGAGGGGAATGGCAAGACTGAGGCGGGAGGGGAGAGGCCTGGGGGAGTATGTGGCTGGAGGTGGAAACAACACTATGCACAGTCTGTGGGGCTAGTGAGGTCAAGATGCACGCAGGGAACTAGTGAGCAGAGGGCAGGGGAGGAGGCACAGGCCAGAAACACTGCCAGAGGATAGGTCTTGACAGGCTGTATGAAGAGCGATTTCAAAAGGGTGGAATTTACTTATGTATGTATTTTTGAGACAGGGTCTTGCTCTGTTGCCCAAGCTAGAGTACGGTGGCTTGATCACTGCAGCCTCGAATTCCTGGGCTCATGCGATCAGGAGTTTGGAGTTTATTCTCAGGGTAATGGTTAAGCTTTGAAAAGGTTTCAAGTAGAGGAATAACAGCATCAGATTTATATTTAAGCAAGTTCATCCTGAAGTATGTGAAAAGATGCCCAACACCATTAGCCACTAGGGAAATCCGAATCAAAACCACAATGAGGGCCAGGCGTGGCGGCTCATGCCTGTAATCCCAGCACTTTGGAGGGTTGAGGCAGGAGGATCACTTGAGGCCAGGAGTGCGAGACCAGCCTGTTCAACATAACGAGGCCCTTCTGTACAAAACATATTTTAAAAAGAAAAAATAAAACTACAACGAGATACCACCTCACATCAGAAAATAATGAGTGTTAGTGAAGATGTGGAGAAACTAGAACCTTCTCTCATTGCTAATGGGAGTGGAAAGTGATACAGCTGTTGAAAAACTGCCTGGTGGTTCCTCAAAAGGTTAAAGATAGTCGCTGTATATCCCAGCAATTCCACTCCTAGGTATACACCCAAGAGTAGTGAATACACTCTTCGATGCAAAAATTTGTATGGGAATGTTCATAGCAACGTTAATCATTGTAGCCAAAAAGTAGAGCCAGGTGTGGTCGCTCATGCCTGTAATCCCAGCACTTTGGGAGGCTGAGGCAGGTGGATCACCTGAGGTCAGGAGTTCAAGACCAGCCTGACCAACATGGTGAAACCCTGTCTCTACTAAATATACAAAAAATTAGCTGGCGTGGTGACACATGCCTGTAATCCCAGCTACTTTGGAGGCTAAGGCAGGAGAATTGCTTGATCGCAGGAGGCAGAGGTTGCAGTGAGCCAAGATCACGTCATTGCACTCCAGCCTGGGCAACAAGAGCGAAACTCCGTCTCAAAAAAAAAAAAAAAAAAATACAAACATACATATACATAGCCCAAAAGTAGAAACAACTCAAATGCCCATTAACTGATGAATGGATAAAAACAAATGTGGTGTGCCCATAAAATGAATTATTATTCGGCAATTTTAAAAAACGAAATAATGATATATGCTATGACATGAATGAACCTCAAAAATTCGTTAAGGAGCCAGTCACAAATAGACCCATGGTGGATTCCGTTTATATGAACTGTCCGGAACAGCAGATCCACAGAGAGAAAGAGCAGCGGCGGCCAGAGGCTACCGGGGAGGGATGGGAGTGCTGCTAATGCGCTCAGGGTTCCTTTGGGTGAGAAAAATGTTTTCAAGTTGATTACAGTGCTGGGCCACAAGTCTGTAAATATACTCAAAGTCACTAAAGTGTACACTGCAAATGACTGAACTGAATGCAAATTACCTCTAAATTAAGCTGGTAACAACAAGGGTTTGTCCTGGCTGCAGTGTGCAGAATGGAGGCAGGGCAGAGAGCAGTGAAGGGCTGCTACACGGATGGAGCTGGAAAGGACAGTGGCTGAACTGTGGGAGGGAGTCACAGGACCAGACTACGAGGGGCCGGAGGAGAAGACTACATCCTGTCGTGGGTGCCACAAGTTCTCCTGGGCACCTGGCAATTCTCCAAAGAGGAGAGTGGGAACAAATGAGGTACTCCAATGATCATAAAGCAGCAAAAATGTACTCAAAATCTCCTACATGGAAGACTAAGAGGAACTCAAAAAGTGTGTCGCCCGCATGTGTGGGGAGTGCCCAGGATAAAAGCACACCAAGTTGCCTGCCAGGAGGCTGTGCTGACTGTTCATTCTCCCTCCTAAATGCCAAAGGAAAGGACTCGTCATTCAGGTCACACTCAAGATGTTGCAAGATCTGCATGAGGTCACCTGAGGTCAGGAGTTCAAGACCAGCCTGACCAACATGGTGAAACCCTGTCTCTACTAAATATACAAAGAGCTGAGAAGGCCAATTACTCCCAGAAGTCAAATCTTTAAAGCTGCCTTTCTGGGTTCTCTGCATGTCTGTGAAAACTGTAAGGCTGCTGAAGTGTGCATTTTTCTTGGTTAGAGCAAAGACCCAGTTTTGACTTCATACCACCTCCTTCCAGAACATCTTCGCTCATCTCCAGGAGGAGACTGATGAGTGTGGAAAGGCCATGGGACAAATGGACCTGGCCTGCTGGTGGAAAACCAAAAGGCAAGTCTGTGAAGGACCACATTCCAAACCCTGCAGAGACTGGCAGCTGGGACCATGACCACAAGACATCTTTGCCCCATTAGAAGAAGCAGACTGTACTGGGATGGGAATAAGCCTGGCCACACCTCACACATGCCCTCCGACATCTCCTTGATGCTTTCTCCACCTTCAATAGAAATTAATGCCGGCCAGCCACTGCCGCCACAGCTAGGGAAGAGGAAAACACCCCTGAGACGCGCCAACAAAGCTGGGAGTTCTGGTACCAGCACACTCAACTGCTAAATGGCAAAACGGAGGCCCAGGTCCATGGAGCAGAGCCGGGGTTGGCATTTAGGGCTCTGCACTTCTCACTCTACCAACTCCTCAAATCCTGACCTTTCCGAAGAACCTGGCTCCACAGGGAAAGAAAAGGTGAGGAATATCTGATGCCTAAGTCTCAACTGGCAGAGAAACCAGAATCACCTCTTTCCTAGAAAAGAAACGGAAACTGTCATGGTTATATGCTGTCATCTCTCTAAAGGAAGGGGGAAAAGCAGGTTAACCAACAAAACATGGGATGATAGGGTTTTAGCTGCAGCTCTCAAATCTTACAGCACTTTACTTCCTTTATTAACAACATTGTTCTGCATTCATTCGTGCCACAGTAATCAACTATTAGTGTGACCATCAGCTCAGCCAAGCAAGGGCTGACAGGATCCAGGCTGCACTGGGTGCAGAACAGCCCAGGCAGCTGAAGAGCTGAGATGTCGCAAAAACGACCAGGGCTTATCACCATCTCTACTTCCCATGGTCCAGCAAACCGAGGCCAAACACTGTTTCCTAAAACTGCAGAGAAATCCAAAATTAAACACTACCAAACAAAAAGCAGACAGGAAGACGAAATAATCTACCTCCTCCTCATGGAAAAATAATCTGAAAGGAGTTTAAAAATACACGAACTAAAATTTTTATAACTATTATCTGCCAGTTTTGAAGACGTCTTCGGGTGCCACAACTGGGGGCGAGAAAGAATAAATATCAACGTATAACTTCTAGAGTGATAATAAACGATGGGACCCCATCTCGGATGGATGGATTTTTTTCCCTGCTATAGCCAAAAAGCAAGCTGAACTCTACGTACAACAGACAGACTATACAATTAGGGGCATTTAAAAATAATAAGACTCATCTCTGCCTTCTTGCAAAGAATAGAATATATATTTAACAGCACAAAAGAAGATACCACTTGAGCTTCCCCTTTAGCCAACAGGAAGAATTTCCACATATAAAAATTAAAAATTTAAACTTTTAAATCATTTGTGTTTTAAACATAATACAGACTTAGAAATTGTTCAATATTAACCCATAATCCCACCCCTAGCACAAAAATCAACCCCAAATCCAGAAGTCACAGGTTTTTGTTCCTAAAAATCCCACAGCACTGAACTTGATCTTCACATCAGGCTGACAGCAAGTAAGAGGCTTGCAACATGAGCAATCCCGAGGGTAGAACAGAAGCACAATCAATGCTGCATCTATTATCTACCTGGTGGCACTGGTGTACCTCTGAGGTCAGGTCCATGAGATTCGCCCCCAGACTAGGGCCCCGGAAGGGTGAGCTGGCCGCTTCCCTCATCTTCCCCCTCGAAGGATGTCCAATAAGCACCTGGGAATTGACTTTTCTTGGGGAAAGGGTGCTGGTAACAGCTGTCAGGGCCAAGGAAATAGTGAGAAGTTCAGTTCTCTGCTCTTTGGATGAACTGTGTAAAACATTTATTTTAAAAGACACAATGTTAAAAATATTAAGAAAAATGTCTACAAAATCTGGAGGGCTGCCTTTTTCTCAAAGGGTAAAGCCTGTGGGGTGGTGGGAAAATAATCGAGGGCCCAGAACTACAACTCTGCAGTGAGATAGAGACGCCCTTGAAAACTTGTCACATTCTTAAGATGCCTTGCCAAGGTAGCAAAAGCTGAGGGTGACTGTGTGAGCAGGAGAAAGAGGGTGCCAGCTCCTGTGGGAGAGGTTGCTACTGTGCCCCACCCTGTGCCGGAATGTCAGGCTTTAGGGCAGCTGTCACAGGCCCCGGGGGCATCAGGACTCTGCCTCTGAACCAGAGCTGCTTTCCCGACTAACTTCAATCTGGAGAGATGGTAAGTTATCTAACCGGCTCTTCTTTTGGCGAGACTGCTCTTTCTCCTTAATCAGAGCCCCCCACGCCCTTTGCAGCTCGGAGTTATCTTCCTCAGTGCCAGGTGCCCTGTGATCTCCTTTCTTCGTACTCTTTTCTTTGGTCTTGGGTGCAGATCCTAAGCGAGTCCATAAATTACCTGTTTGGATGATATGACATTTCAGTTTTGCAGTCAGTGCTAAAAACCAGGGTAGTACCAAGGGGGCAGTGGCACTGTCAACCCCTGATGTGCAGGAAATGCCAGCAGTCTGTGGCGCCTGCCAGCACGGTGCAGCCTTGGGAAGGTCATCTCATTTCCCGGGGGCAGCCCCTGCCTGCAAACAGAGGGATCTGGACCCCACAGAGGATTCTCACTGTGTGGGGACAGTCATGTACCTCCCTGTCACCAGACACATGGGATCACCTGAGAGGCTGTTTCCTCCTGCTCCTGCCCTTCCCTGCTGAGACACACCCCTGTGTGCCAATCCTTTCTGCCAGGAGTAGGCCGTTCCCAGATCCTTCCAGCTCCAACATTCTACAAATCAATGGGCCTAGTGCACTGCAACGTTTCAGAAATTCTGCCCACTATCCATTCATTTTTGAAATACATTTTATGAAAATTTCGCAAGAGAAATATGTGTTTAGATTTTGTGAACAGCCACATTATAAGGCAATTAAAAGTGGTTTCTGTTTTTGTTTTTTGAGACAGGGTCTTGCTCTGTTGCCCAGGCTGAAGTGCAGTGGTGCAGGCACCCACCACCACACCTGACTAACTTTTGTATTTTTAGTAGAGACGGGGTTTCACCACATTGGTCAGGCTGGTCTCAAACTCCTGACCTCAGGTGATCCACCCGCCTCGGCCTCCCAAAGTGCTGGGATTACGGGCATGAGCCACCGTGCCTGGCCTACAAATTTTATTTATAAGATGATAGAATATGGCAAACAACTATGATAAAATACTATATGAAAAAAGTAGGATTTGTATGTGGACAAAGATCGGAATAGCTCACATGAAACTAAAAAGGATCTGTGCCACACGGAAGGAACCATGAGCACGCTATTTTTTTCCATTTTCCAAGCATTCCTTACTGTTGGGATGCTGATGCTGATGCTGATGATGCTGATGATGACCTTAAAGGAAAAGGAATCATCACTTATGTTTGTCATGTGCTGTTTCTTGCCTTCTGATAAGAAAGTATTTCTACAATACACCACTGTCCTCTGCTCTCACCGAACTCCCCATCCCATCAATGTTAAGTGTTACCAACCTGATTTCTTCTCCCGAGTATCGGCGTAGAGGCCTTTAATATCTTGCCTAGGAACACCTAGTCTACTATGAACATCAGAAGAGGGCTCTCTCCGAACCACTGGGTTACTACTAAAAGCCTTTTCTGGAGAATATGGTCTTTTTCCTAACCGCTGGCGTATATCTGAAAACAGAGAGAAAGTACAACAGTCACAGTGTACGTGCTTTACTCTCGGCACCATCTGCCTGAGACCTCTAAAGGATCTGGCACCAGCTCTCCCTAAGTGAGGACACAGGGCCTGACAAGCAGGCTGCTACGTATCTTTCCTTTGTCATCAGTCTGGATTTCCCTAGGAAAATTCGGACGTAGGTGCTGTCAGGGGGAAAATCTTTAATTGATTGCTCCAGAACTAAATTTTTGAAGAAACAATCATTTTTATTGTTTTAGCAGATTCAAGCACACTAAATAATTTACAAAAGTTTCAGCTAACAAAAGAATCCTGCGAGCTCCCTGAGAGCAGAAGGGACAATCTTTGAACATATTAAGTAGCTCCCAATAAAGAGACTGGCAACCAGCAAAAGCAAAGGATAAAAATTTGTTTTTCACTCCATCCCCCCAGAAATCTGCCTGTCCTCTTGCGTTCCCCCTAACAACGACAGCAACGGCCGAAACACAGCGTTGTCAGCGAGACCTTGTGCTGAGGCCTCATCTCTAACTTCTCTCGGAGAGCAGCACCCCGGCCTCTGCTCGCTCAGGCCCGAGCCCCTTCCTTCAGCACTTCCTAGCCCTGAGTCTTCCTTCATAGGACTTTCTGTTCTTTATCCATTCTGTCTCCACTGACCTAGCTCAGGCTCCTGGTACTGATTTAACTCTCCACCCCACCCCACTCCACCCTCCAGTTATCTTTCTAACATAGATCTAAGACCAGGTTACTTCCCGTCTAAAAAAATCAGGTTTGCCAACAAAGATGCTGCCCTTCTGAGGCCGCACTCTAAAGCTACTTTCTCTAGGAGCCTTTCACAATCTCCTTAGTAGATTGGCAATGGCTGTGTGTCTCCTCCAAAGACTTCTCTCACTCCTAAGCACCCAGCCTTGGCTCTGACACACAGCAGGTTTGGCTAAACACCTCCCAAATGAGTGTTTGCATGTACAAATGATCTAGTGAAAACTCTTAACCATTCAGACAACCACCCAACTTAATTTCCATTATTCTTGTATATAAAGTATGCCAATGTCATACAGAGTAAAATATGGTTGGCGCACCTCAGCCATGGGCTCCACATCTACAGATTCAACCAACTGCGGATTGAATATATTTGGGAAAAAAAAAATAAGACATAAGAGTCCAGCAAAAAATATACAGGATAAGAATTTATACTGTATTAGGTATTATAAATAATCTAGAGATGACTTAAAATATATGAGAGGATGTGTGTAGGTTACACGCAGGTAATACGTCACTTTAAGGGACTTTAGCATCAGTGGATTCTGGTATCTGCAGATTCTGGTATCTGTAAGTGCGTGGGGAGTCCCAGAAACAAACCCCCAGAAATACCAAGGAACGACTGTAATTATCTGGAATAAAAATATTTAAAACTAGTTTTGCAAAAGTTTGATTACTTTTCATTTCCTGAAATTCCAACACCTAGCCCAAAATCTAGATATGATGACCCAGGGCAGCGAAATCAGTTCACAAATGGTGTATTTTACCCAAGAACTCAACTCTGCCCCAGTCTGCTTTCTGGAGCTCAGAATACAGCCCAGAAGCACAGCTACAATACCTGATTTAGTATTGCTGACTGGTGGCCGTGGACGCGAGTGCTGGCGTTTTTCATCTAACAGATGTCGGACATCTGCAAATTTCTCAGGTGGCGGTTTGTTACCAATTCAGTTTTTGATATTGCTTGAAGATACACTATCTGCCCTCATGGAGTTCCTTGAAAAAGCAGGTAGGACAGGGCACAGTTAACCAACTTCAGCTCTGAGACAAGGCCCAAACAACAATCTCATACTTTGGAGGAAACAGTTTAAGAAATCCAATCTAATATGGCCAACATACACTCACAAACCCATAAACTTACAATTATTTGCTTATGGAAACCATGAACTACCTGCTATAAAGAGCCTGGTCTGGGTGAGCAGGTTTTCAAATGTGGTTTCCACACGTGTATGTCCTATCACAGAGCACGAGACTACCAGTCCCCCTCTCCTGGGATAGATGTTGAGTAGAGGCCTACAAAGAGACTGGGGCTTCGGCTCACCCATGTTGTGATTTGGCTGTAGTCAATACATAGTGTAGTCTACAGTCTCTCTCTTTAAATGGCAGACTTCTCTTTCAAAGAGATATGCTACCATACTAGGTAACAGCACGGTTCTGGTGGCATTCTCTACCAGAAAGTTCTCTGAAAACTAAATATAAGAGTGTGAACAAGGCCATACAAACAAATCAGCTTGAATGGACTTTTCTCCTCCCTACAAACATACTGAGAACATGTGAGATAGAGCATCCCTAGACTTTAACCCTTGAATTGTGGATTCTGCCTGCACAGAATCTGCTCACCCCTAGTAGTCATCAAAGATGTGCACATTGAAATAACTAATTCGTTTTTGTTCATGAAACTAGCTAACATTAGAAAGAATGGTAATAGCTAAGGCTGGTGAGCATGTAGGTAGTAGTGGTAATTGTGTGATTAAAACCCTTCTGGAAAACAATTTAGCAATACCACCTTTTTAAACATGTATATTGTTTTATATAATAACTGGACTTTGAAGAATTTATCTAGTTAGTGCAACAGTAAGAAAACAGAAACCCAAAGTCCATCAAAAAGGAATTCTTTAAATAAACCATGATACTTTCAAACAATGGACTACATACAGTTGAAAAAATAACAATGTCTATAACAAGTGAAAATGCACAATGCAAAACTATAAATAGCATAACCTCATTTTTATAAAAAATATACTTTTATACAACTATAGCTATAGTTTTTCCATGTGCTATACACACATACACACAGCTGAAAGGCTATTCACCCAATTGGGAACAGTGTTACTGTCAGGAAAGAATGGGAATACAGATGATTTTCACTTTCTATATTGTCTATAGCTTTTAGAACAAGAATTGCTGCTTGTATAGAGGAAACACTGGATGTGTTTATTAAACTCCTAAAAGGGACTGAAATCAGAATAGATGAAAGATATTATAAAATTAGGAGGCATTAAGAAGAAGTCATATTAGTATTTAAAATCAAATGAAAAGCTGGCATTGATAAAACAAAGATTTTACCTAATGTTTTTCAACTGAGATTCCACTTCATCAGCATACATAGTCATTTTCTTTTTCTTTTTTTTTTTTTTAATTTTTTATTGGATTATAGGTTTTGGGGTACATGAGCAGAGCATGCAAGACAGTTGCGTAGGTACACACATGGCAGTGTGCTTTGCTTTTCTTCTCCCCTTCACCCTCATTTGGCATTTCTCCCCAGGCTATCCCTCCCCACCTCCCCCTCCCACTGGCCCTCCCCTTTTCCCCCCAATAGACCCCAGTGTTTAGTACTCCCCTTTCTGTGTCCATGTGTTCTCATTTTTCATCACCCACCTATGAGTGAGAATATGCGGTGTTTCATTTTCTGTTCTTGTGTCAGTTTGCTGAGGATGATGTTTTCCAGATTCATCCATGTCCCTACAAACGACACGAACTCATCATTTCTGATTGCCGCATAATATTCCATGGTGTATATGTGCCACATTTTTCCAATCCAGTCTATTATCAATGGGCATTTGGGTTGATTCCAGGTCTTTGCTATTGTAAACAGTGCTGCAATGAACATTCGTGTACATGTGTCCTTATAGTAGAACGATTTATAGTCTTTTGGATATATACCCAGTAATGGGATTGCTGGGTCAAATGGAATTTCTATTTCTAAGGCCTTGAGGAATCGCCACACTGTCTTCCACAATGGTTGAACTAATTTACACTCCCACCAACAGTGTAAAAGTGTTCCTTTTTCTCCACATCCTCTCCAGCATCTGTTGTCTCCAGATTTTTTAATGATCGCCATTCTAACTGGCGTGAGATCGTATCTCAATGTGGTTTTGATTTGCATCTCTCTGATGACCAGTGACGATGAGCATTTTTTCATATGATTGTTGGCCTCATATATGTCTTCTTTCGTAAAGTATCTGTTCATATCCTTTGCCCACTTTTGAATGGGCTTGTTTGTTTTTTTCCTGTAAATCTGCTTGAGTTGTTTGTAAATTCTGGATATCAGCCCTTTGTCAGATGGGTAGACTGCGAAAATTTTTTCCCATTCTGTTGGTTGCCGATCCACTCTAGTGACTGTTTCTTTTGCCGTGCAGAAGCTGTGGAGTTTCATTAGGTCCCATTTGTCTATTTTGGCTTTTGTTGCCAATGCTCTTGGTGTTTTGTTCATGAAGTCCTTGCCTACTCCTATGTCCTGGATAGTTTTGCCTAGATTTCCTTCTAGGGTTTTTATGGTGCCAGGTCTTATGTTTAAGTCTTTAATCCATCTGGAGTTAATTTTAGTGTAAGGTGTCAGGAAGGGGTCCAGTTTCTGCTTTCTGCACATGGCTAGCCAGTTTTCCCAACACCATTTGTTAAACAGGGAATCCTTTCCCCATTGCTTGTTTTTGTCAGGTTTATCAAAGATTGTATAGTTGTATGTATGTTGTGTTGCCTCCGGTGCCTCTGTTTTGTTCCATTGGTCTATATCTCTGTTTTGGTACCAGTACCATGCTGTTTTGATTACTGTAGCCTTGTAGTATAGTTTGAAATCTGGTAGTGTGATGCCCCCCGCTGTGTTCTTTTTGCTTAGAATTGACTTGGCTATGCGGGACATAGTCATTTTCATGCTCTTCTTTGGGGAAGGAGTGGAAATCATTTTCAGGTCCAGATCATAGTCCATTTCATCTGAGTCTGAGCTGCTGGCACTGGACCGTCTGGACGTGCTCCGCTCATTGGACTGCTTGAGAGCTGGGAGCTCCTCGTGGTACTCTACCACCACTCTGTCATCTGCATCCATGTCCTGGTCTTCTTCCTCCTCCTCCTCCTCCTCCTCCTCCTCTTCAATGGGTTCCTCAGGTACATTCACTAGTCCTGAGGAAATTTAATCAGAAAACATTAGGAAAAGCACTAAAATTAACAAGTATGATTTTCTACTCTACATCGGGGACCTTTTTAAAGACAGGGCTCCCATCCCTGACATTTTATAAGAGCACGATCTGTAATAGTGCTGAATGGACATTACTCTGATACTGTAACAGGAGCATGGCTAGGTAAAGTATGATGCAGCAACCTAATCAAATATCATAAAGTCATTTAAAATACACTGATCCATTATTCACAGTTTTTGTATTTGCAAATTTGCCAAATTTATTTGTAATTCCAAAATCAATACTTGCAATGCTTCAATGGTTGTTTGCTGGCACGCAAAGAATGGCAAAAATACTCTGAGTCACCAGACACGCACACTCCCAGCTGAGGCCAAACAAAGCAACACTCTGCCTTCTTGTTTCATCTCAAGCTGTAAACAACTGTCTGTTTCAGTCTGCCGCTAGCCACAGTTTTCACACTTCTGCACTTGCTGCCAGTGATTTCACTGCTTAAAACTGCCCTGAGTGTCCTGCTCAAGTGCTGCCTGGTGTTCCTAGATGCAACCAGGCTGTGGTGGGCAGTGTGCAGCCTGAGTTTTAGGGCTACTGGCCGTGAATTCAACGTTAAATAAGGTGTCCTTAAACAGAAACACATAAAACAAGGTACCATACTGATCCACTGGCAAAAATGTGACCAGAGGCTACACATGATTCGGTGTTTGCTAATTCAGTGTGCACAGTGACTTTATAGAACATAAGCCCCATGAATAATGAAAATCAATGGGAAAATACAATAAACGAAAGAAGCAGAATAGAAAGTATACATTCACAAGAGTTAGACTATGTATTATGAAAATAGACAAATGGGAAAAATGTAAGATGAAATCAGTCATCATACAGGGTACTAGAAATGGAATAATTTGCTTTTTAATTTCCTTAATCTGTATATAAAAACTGTATGATGAAAATATTTATAGTAAGTAAAACTGGAAAAGCATAACAGTGTAACAGAAAAATATGTGTATTATTATTGTTGTTGTTGTTATTTTGAGAAAAGGTCTTGCTCTGTGGCCCAAGTTGGCATACTGTAACACCATCTTGGCTCACTGCAGCCTCGACCTCCCAGGCTCAGGCAATCTCAGCCTCCCAAGTAGACCATGCCTGGTTTGGCTAATTCTTTATTTTTTTGTAAAGACAAGGTCTCACTATGTTGCCCAGGCTCGTCTCAAACTCCTGGTTTCAAGTGATCCTCCTGCCTTGGCCTCCTGAAGTGCTGGGATTACAGGTGTGAGCCACTGTTCCCAGCCTATGTGTATTATTAATATGTAGATCTCAAATACACAATTTTGTATATACACACTAAATAAAATGTCTAGACTTCATCCCTTTCTGTCCCCATTACAATCAATGTGTGTGTATGTGATTCTGTATGCTGACTTGGCAAGTTCTATTATGCATGTAGAAGATTCCACAGATTAGGCTCAAAATAAGAACAATTCATTATAAAACATAATTAAAATGGTTCTTTTACAAATAAGCACCAAAAAAGGAGAAAGAAACCCATTTTTCTGATATCTCCCTTTTCTGAGGCATTCACATGCACAAACCAACAAGCACAAAGCACTCAACACAGCAGCTTATTTTTATTACAGAAAAAGAACAATACAATCCGTTTATATGACAAAATAATTTTTAAAATTGTTTCCAGCCAGGCATGTTGACTCACGCCTGTAATCCCAGCACTTTCAGAGGCCAAGGAAGGCAGATCACAAGGCCGAGAAGGGCAGATCGACCGGCCTGGCCAACATGGTGGAACCCTATTTCTACTAAAAATACAAAAATTAGCTGGGCGTGGTGGTGCACGCCTGTACTCTCAGCTATTCAGGAGGCTAAGGTGGGAGAATCACTTGAACCCAAGAGGCAGAGGTTGCAGTGAGCCAAGATCATGCCACTGCACTCCAGCCTGGGTGACAGAGCGAGACTCCGTCTAAAAATAAAATAAAATTGTTTTCATGCAGCTGTTGATATTAATAGTTGAAAAATTAGGATCCTAAAAAAAGGTTTGTTTTAATTTTCTCTGTGTCACATTTGGCCTTTTCGATTGAACAGCTTTTATAAAATCATTTGATCTCTTTGGGCAACTTAAAATTCACTGTGACTTGACTTACTTTCCTATATGTTGGCAGAGGGTGAGGGCAAGGAAGAGAGGATGATAAAGTTTGGAATCTTAAAAGATTGTATTAAGAATAAAAATATGATTTCAGCAGCCAAACATGTGTCTACCCAAGAGCTGAGCAGGCAACTACCAGAATGCCAATGTTTATACGACGTCAAGCCAAAGTCATCCCCAATCAGGGCTCTCTTCTTGATCACGTCCCGCTGAATACGACGGGAATGATATCTTCGCTTCCTGCAAGAACGCCAAAATAAGCACACAATCAAAAACTAATAGGAAAGACCCTGAAATAAACTAGCCCGTTTCTTTCTTTCCTTCCTTCCTTCTTTCCTTCCTTCCTTCCTGCCTTCCTTCCTTCCTTTCTTCCTTTCTTTCTTTTTCTTTCTTTCTTCAGTGATGGAGTCTCTCACCGTCTCCCAGGCTGAAGTGCAGTGGCTATCTCAGCTCTCTGCAACCTCTGCCTCCCGAGTTGCAGCAATTCTTCTGCCTCAGCCTCCTGAATAGGTGGGTCTACAGGTGTGTGCCACCACACTGGCCCATTTTTGTATTTTGAGTAGAGACAGGGTTTCACCATGTTGGCCAGGCTGGTCTAGAACTTCTGATCTCAGGTGATCCATTCGCCTCGGCCTCCCAAAGTGCTGGGATTACAGGCGGGAGACACTGCATCTGGCCTCACTAATTCATTTCAACTACACAATGAAACAATATTAGGTACTAAAACAGATATTTTAAATGTAACTAAAACTCAGCATTTACCACATTTAAGAATCTTGAATCCTTCCCTCATCTTTCTTCCAGTCTACACGGGGTTTAGACATTTCAACACAGAATACTAACTGAAGGATTAAGAAAAACTTAAATACTTTTCCATTTTAAGGTTTTGGGCTCACCATGAATTGCTAAGAATTCCTTTCATGCCTCCGTAATTTGGATTCCCATATTTCATGTAATATTGACTTCTTCTGGCTGCTCCAAGTTCCTTTTTGTCATCTAAAAATTAATTATAATAGTTACCTAGGCTTTCCTGTGAGTGTGAAGGCAATGTTGAATGTTTTCTGTTGTTTTTTTTTTTCCTTAATGATTTCCATAGCTGGAATCAGATCAGCGCAATTTGCAAACAAACAGGAAAAATCCACTACCAAATTCATACTCTGAGTGCCCACTACGACAGTGAGTGTAGAAGGGATAAAGCCAAATACAGAGGCGAACAAGGTTACAACTGCTGTTTTGGAGCCAAATGACTTAACGGGGAAATAAAAATAAACAATACAAGACACAAGGTTCCAAGAGGCATAAAGAGCTTTAGGTCATTGCAGGTACTCAGGAATCAAAAAGGCTTTCTCAAAACGGCATTTTTGCCACCCCATGAAAGATGATATTCACTTCTGAATAACACGTCAACAACACAGAATCAGGATGAAAGAAACAGAGTGTTTATCATTCCATATATTTGGTAAATCATTTTTTCCAGCTTACCGTGTTTCTCAAAATGGCTTAAAGAAAACGGCATAGTACTATACATCTAGAATGTACTCAACAACTCAAATGAGTACATGTGGCAAAGAGCACATTTGTCAAGTTAAAACGTCAGTTAATAGGAAAGAAAGGCGGTCAGTGATGATAAATTTTTGTCCAAAGCAGTAATACAAAGGCCTTCCATGGTCCTTGGACACTCTGACAGTAAATAACAAACACCACTGTGAATATACTCAGTGCTCTAGGTAAATGTGACAACACAAACTGTAATGCACAGCCCCCAACCCTGAACCCCTCAAACCATGCCCACCAGCTCCTTGGAGAAATGGCTGATTCCAGATGTGGAGCAGGTAAGATCCAAAATGAGTCTGGAAAAGCAAGATGCTTTGTTGTGCCATAAAGTAAGAAAGTGCTTAAAGAATCATGGAGGGGCCGGGCGCAGTGGCTCAAGCCTGTAATCCCAGCACTTTGGGAGGCTGAGGCGGGTGGATCACGAGGTCAAGAGATCGAGACCATCCTGGTCGACATGGTGAAACCCCGTCTCTACTAACAATACAAAATAGAAAAAAAAGAATCATGGAGTACATCAAAACAGCTTGAAGGGGCTCTACTGGCCAAATCCAAGACAACTTGTAAATTAAAATACTCATATTAATGGATGATGACCCACTGAATAAAGAATCCATGATTCTAAATTGATGTAAATAAACAAACAGGTAAAAACAGAAAGCTCCTCCTTACAGCACCTGTCTACTAGTAAGAAATGATGTAGTCAGAAAGACATCAACACGTATTAAAAGCAGGAAATGCTGAGAGCAACAGGCTATTTACAGGAGCTCAAAGAATCTGCCCACCAAGTTTTTATTTTATTCATTTCTTTAATTTTTAAAAATAGCTTTGAGGTCTTGCTATGTTGCCTAGGCTGGTCTTGAACCTCTGGACTCAAGTGTTCCTCCTGCTTTAGCTTCCCAAAGTGTTGCGATTATAGGCATGAGCCACTGCAACCACCAGCCCATCAATTTTTAAGACACAAATGGAAAAACAGTAACTTTACAGTGGAAAAATCTAGTGATTATTGCCTTCACCAAGTGAATAAAGTGAACATCCCTAGGAATGGGACAAGTAAGTGTCCCAGGGCTCCTGACATGAGGCACTGGAAATTACATGACATCACTTCCATGGCACGCCTACCTCACATGCACAACCCTAATTCAACCAGGAGGAATCATCAGACACACCGAAACCGGGGACATCCTATAAAACAGTAAGCCTATACTCTTGGAAAACACAGGAGGACAGAAGTAGCTCCAGATTAAGGGAAGCTAAGGAAACGTGACATCCTTAAAAACACTCAGTCCTGGATTGGATCCTAGACCTGGGGGCTGGGTGGGGAATACAGAAGTGACATTATTGGAACAGCTGACAACACTTGAATATGGACGACGGATTAGGTAACAGTACTCTATTAATGTCAGATGCATTGATTTTGATGAGTGTGCTATCAGTGAAAGACAATGTTCTTGTTCTCTGGAATACGTATTCAAGTATTTAGGGGTGACGGGTTTTATCTTCAAATAACTCTCAAAAAACAGGATTTGTATATGTGTATACACATATACACACATATACACACATTTTTAAATGCCCGCCAAAAGTCACTGTGTGCAAAAGTCTTATGAGACGGGAATTAGAGCTTACTGGTATACTGGCAATGTTCAGGAGGATCCTGCTGCAATAGATTAAAACGTTTCACTTTAAAGTTTTCATAATTCAGATGTAACTGGCTGAAAACACATGGGGCAAACCAGTTTTAATAGAAAATCACTTTCTTTAGCTAGAAGTCACAGAAGTATACAAATATATTCACTTTAAAAGTCAGAAATTCCAGCTCAGGCAGCGAGCACTTATTTCATAAGCAAGAATACTATAGTTTGAAGGGAACTTTGAGACTACTTGATCTAAGTTCTATTAAAAAAAAAGGATGTCACTCCACAATAAATCATTTTGATTGAAAATACAAAACAATACCAAATAAAAAATTTACCTTTTGTAGCAAATCTCATGAATAACCTATTTCCTTTAGCAAGTTTGTTAGCTGGACGAAGATCATTTCTTAACAAAGACTCCTCTTCTACCTGAGACAACGTGTCCAACTTAAGAAAGAAGAGTATTTTTAATATAAAAATTAAAGTCCTTTTCATATTTCTTCAGTAGTCCAGTCACCATTAAGAAAGGCATTCTACCTTTAATGCGTACAAGGGTTATAGCACCAGTTCCTCTGTAGAATTTCTAACTCAGAGGTTTCCCGCCCACCTTGTCTAAAGGAACAGTCTCAGCCATTCTCTATTCCCTACTCTTTCCTGTTTTCACAGCACCTGTCACCACCTGACACAGTATTAGGATCTGTGCATTGGTGTATCACCTGTATTCCCACTAGAATGCAGGCTCCAAGAAGACCAGGACTTTGTTTTGCTTGAAGCTATATCCCTGGCACTTAGAATATGGCGTATAGTAGGTACTCAGTAAATATTTTTTAAATGAATACATGCTAATATTTCTAACAGCAGTGTATAATCCATTAGGAAATATGTCTTAACCATTAGACAACCACCCAACTTAATTTTCATTATTCTTGTATATAAAGTATGCCAATGTCATACAGAGTAAAATATGGCTGGCGCTTAATTTTCTTAATTTTACCGATTAGATAACACTTCAAAGTATTTCTCAATAGAACTATTTTCTTTTTTGTAGAAGGATGAGAACTATTCTGGGGTTTCAAGGTTAATTGTTACATCCACATGACCTTAAAGGACAAGAGCTTTGTGCATCCTCAGAAGGTCTCACGGTGAAAGCTAGAGGAAAAACACAACTAAGTCTTTAAGACTTAAATTAAAAAGACAGTAAGCATTTTTTACAAGAGAGCCTGACATCTACCTTCGCCCTATTACTAACCTCTACGTCACTTGTGTTCTCGTCTTCAACCTCTCCTTCTTCAGCTTCATCATCCTCTGAACTGTCTTCCTGCTTGTCTAACATGGAATGTGAAGGACAAGACGAAACAAGGTAAAAGTTTCATATAATGAGATACAGGATGAACTATTTCATATAATTTTAAAAGTCCAGTATTTTCCCCTTTGCTGATGATCTAAAGCATCATAGCTTACTTCAGAACCACCTGATGAGACGCTACAGCACTCTGCTGAGACACGCACAGCGCACAGCAGAACTGAGTGAAGAAGAGGACTTTCAAACCCAAGTTCCCTCTTTTGTTCATCACTTACCATGGCTCATCCAGTCTTCCAGACCCCTCCTCTCTCTGTCTCCTTTCTTTCCACACACGCCCTCTTCCAGGTTTGGGACCCCCTCGTTGGACGAGATTCCTGGGCTCGCGTTCAGTTCACAACACCTCTGCCCAGGGGTCAGCAACCTCCCGCAGCCTCGGCTCCTGCTGTGACTAACCCAGACATCGTCGGCCCTATTCCTGGAGCTGTGGTGAGGATAGCAGTCACCTAGTCATGGTTCTCAACCAGGTGATCCTGCCCCAAGGGACACTGGGTGATATCTGGGAACATTTGTGGTCTTCATGACTGAGGGTGCTTCTTGCATGGAATGGGTGTGGGTCAGAGACACTGCCTAGCCCGCTGCAGTGCCCAGGATGGCCCCACCCCAGAGAACAATCCTACCTCCACACCCAGAGTGCAGAGCAGGAGATACCTGCGTTCATTATTGGAAAAATATTGAATCTGCTCCCTGCTCTCACTTGGCGACAGAATATGTTTGCGACAGGGCAGACAGTGTAAACCAGGGGGATCCCAGCTCCTGGGGCTCTCCTCCTCTCTCCCTCCCCATTCCGTGTGGATTTCAATGTGTGCAGCCTCCTGGGAACTCAGTGGAGCAGAGGCTCATGGGACGCAGAGTCTCTTGGGGGTCTGTGGAATCCCCTAACCCTGGGGGTCTCACCTGGGATGATTCTGTGCTCAGGGGGACACTGGGCCATGTCTGGGGTTAACTGTGCTTGTCACGGCTGATGGTGCCCCTGGCATGGAGTGGACAGAGGCCAGGGACACTGCTTAGCACCCCACAGTGTCCAGGATGCCCCTACCCCAGAGAAGGATTGGCAATGACGTCCACAGGGCCTGGGGAGAAGCCCTGGCTAAAGTGAAACCTCTATTGTGAAGGCGTCCACGGGTTGCATGGCAGGTCAGAGGCCACTCCATGTGTTAGGGATCTCGGGGTCATAAGCATTAATCAGTGCCCCCCCAACCCAGAGCTCCTGGAGGCTGAGACAGTGTCCCCTACCCTCCAGGCTTCCACTGTGGGTGTGAGGCTGCCTTGAGTTACAGCTTCTCGAGAACTGCCTGAGGCCGGGTGACTCAGCAGCCCAGGCCTGTCTCCCCTTTGCTGCCCATCTGTGGCCATTACAGGGTGGCCGCCTGTATCTCAACCCCCATGTGGGTGCCAGCTGTTGTCATAACTGGCCGGAGCCTCTGCCATCCCAGGCGCTAGATCTCACAGCTCCCTTGGGTCCTGGGAACTTTCCCAGCCCCCTTCTGCCCAGGACCTGAGAGCTTGGGTGAGCTTTCCCAGCAGAGGAAGCAACACAGGGCATGCAGATGAGGGTGGAGGGGCGGGAAAAGCCCCTGGGTCTGTGTCTGGGAATGGTTCTGTCCAGGCAGAGTCCAAAGCCAAATGCTCAGGGAGGATCCCATGACCCTGTGCAGGTCACATCCTCCTGGTGTCTTTTTGTTGTTGTTGTTGTTGTTTGTTTTTTGTGTTTTTTTTTGAGACAGAGTCTCTGTCCCCCAGGCTGGAGTGCAGTAATGCGATTTTGGTTCACTGCAACCTCCACCTCCTGGGTTCGAGCGATTCTCCTGCCTCAGCCTCCTGAGTAGCTGGGACGACAGGTGCCTACAACCACGCCCAGCCAATTTTTATATTTTTAGTAGAGACAGGGGTTTCACCATGTTGGCCAAGATGGTCTCAATCTCTTGACTTCGTGATTCACCCACCTTGGCCTCCCAAAGTGCTGGGATTACAGGCATGAGCCTCCACACCCGGCTCCTCCTGGTGTCTTCTTGCTGCTGCAACTCTCTGTGGTGAAACCTCCAACCCAGTGGTCCTCACCTGGGGCTGATCCTGGCCCCTGGATGACACTGGGCAATGTCTGGGGACATCTGTTGTTACAACTTGGAGGAGGGGGCTCCTGGCATGGAGTGGGCGGAGGCCAGGGATGCTGCTCAGCACCCTGCAGTGCTCAAGACAGCCCCACCCCAGAGAACCACTGGCCCCTGTGTCCACAGTGCTCAGGGGGAAACCCAGGATTATGTCAAGGACTTAGGGGTTAGGCTTATGTATCAGAAAGGTGTCAGCCTTGTGGTGAGGACACAGAGGGGCCAGACCCAAAGAAGGAGTCTGACACCCCTCCTGACACCTAAGGATGCCAGCAAGACAACTCTTGTCAAGGGGATGGGGGTGGTAAAGAGAAGCCAGTAACTGACCGCCCTTGTAGAAGCCACACTGGCAGAATTTAGTGACTGGACATCTGTGGTCAGAGAGGAAGGGGCAAGGGACGAAGCAGGAGGCAGCTCAGATTGGAATGTTTTGGAAAACTAAAATTTAGGAAAGTCCTAAAAAATACATACTTGAAAACACGTGCATTTGTATGGAAGATATGTATGGGAACATATATGTGTGCATGCATGTATATGTAAAGATGAGTGTGTGTCGCTATATTCATCTGATGTCTACCTTTCTAGCTTGTTTGTCTATATCCACCCATCTTCCATCCATCTATCTAGCCAGCATTCAGCGACCCAGGCATCTATCCACTTATCCACCATCCATTCATCCACCCACCATCCATCCATCCATCCACCATCCATCCAGCTATGCATCACATCTACCCAGCCAGGCATTTATCCACTTATCCACCCATCCCTCCACCCATCCAACTACCATCCATTCATCCATGCATCCAACATTCATCCAGCCATTCATGCAGTCATCCAACCACCCAGCCATTCACCATCCATTCACCACTCATCGTTCCACCCATCCATCCATCCGTCTATCCACCCATTGTCCATCTGTCCATCCACCCACCCATCTATCCAGCCATTCATTTATCCATTCATCCATTCACCTACCCATATATCCATCTATTCATCTATCCATCCATGATCCATCCATCCACCCAGCCAACAACCCACCTAGTCATCCATTTATCCATCCATCCATCCATCCATCCATCCATCCATCCATCCATCCACCGACCCATCCACCCAACCATCCACCCAACTGTGCATCCACTCATCCATCCTTCCATCCACCCATCCAACTCATTCAGCCATCCACTCATTCACCCATCCACCCATCCACTCATTCACCCATCCACCCATCCACCCATCTACTCACCTATCCATTCATCCATCCACTCACCCATCTACTCAGCCAATCATTTATCCATCCATCCACCCACCTACTGATCCACCCATCCATCTATACATCCAGCCAGCCAGCCATTTAGCCATTCACCCAGCCACCAACCCACTTAGTCATCCATCCATCCATCCATCCATCCATCCATCCATCCATCCACCCATCCATTCATCCATCCATCCATTTATTCATCCATCCATTCACCCATCCAACCCAGCCATCCACCCAACCATGCATCCACTCATGCATCCTTTCATCTACCCATCCACCTATCCATCCACCCACCCACCTGTCTACCAAGTTACCCACCCATCCACCTGCCATCTGCCTATCCACCCACCCACCTACCCACCCACCCATTTATCTGTCCAGCCATCCATCTGCCTCCCACCCATCCATCAGTCCATCCACCCATTAGCCCACCCACCCATCTGTCCAGTCATCCTAACATGTCATTCTGTTTTTCAGGCTCCTCTGGGCTGAGATGGTTTCTCAGATGTTCTCCTTTCTGGCACCCTCAACAGTCATGAAAAGGTCTGGTCAGGTGTTTTGTAGGTTGTCCCTTGACTGGATTTGTCCAGTGTCTTTCTCATGGTCAGACTGAAGTGATGGGTTTTGGGGAGAAAGCCCACAGATGTGAGGGCCTTCTTGTCAAATCCCATCAAGGGAACATGATAGCCACATGACTTCTCACTGCTGATGAGCTTGATCACCTGGCACAGGAGTGTATGCCAGGTTTCTCCACTGTCATTTTGATTTCAAGGTTACATTCTTTTCCTTTTCATTTTCTTTTCCTTTTTTTTCAGATGAAGTCTTGCTCTGTCACCCAGGCTGAAGTGTAATGTCACTATCTCTGCTTACTGCAACCTCCACTTACCAGGCTCAAGCGATTCCCCTGCCTCAGCCCCCCCAAGTAGCTGTGATTACAGGTGGCCACTACCATACCCAGCTAATTTTTATATTTTTAATAGAGGTGGGGATTCACCACGTTGGCCAGGCTGGTTTTGAATTCCTGACTTCAAATTATCCACCTGCCTCAGCCCCTCAAAGTGCTGAGGTTATAGGAGTGTGCCACCTCACCTGGCCCATGGAGACATTCTATTGGATCCACACACAGTATTGACTCTGAGTTCCTATTGAGGGATGCTTGTGTGTGTGTGTGTGTGTGAAAGAGAGAGAGAGAGAGAGAGAGAATTCTGCCTCCTTTTTCAATTGACCCTTTGGCTGTCAAATGTCAAGGCTGGGATTTGCACTTGGACTGGCTCATTTCCAGAGCCTGCGAGTGTCCTTCCCTCCATGTTCTTTCCTTTCAACCTCAGCTGAGCTCTTGGGGGACCGAGGTCACTGCAGCTTGTCTGGTCCTGCCAGCTCCCAGCTCCCCCAGCCAGACGTGCCATCCCAGGTTCCCCCATTTGCGGCCCTTGCTTTGAATTTATGGGCCTCCTGAACAGAATTGGAAACTCATCAGGGAGTGTGAAAGTCTCTCTAGAAGGTGGGAATGCCAGCAGTTGCCAGCCTCCAGCACCTGCAGCAACAAGGAGTCTTGTCACACAGCTTGGAATGTGGCAGACACAGCTGGAGGGTGGAGCAGTGGAAGGTGAGGGCCTCTATCCTCCCAGATCTCACGCTATCATGACAGCTGCCAGACTGCACTGAGCCCCTCCTGGTTCCACAGCCTATGAAGGGGGCAAGAGGTTTATTTCTCCTCATTAGAATAGTACAACTTTCTGTTTACAATAGTAACACTGGCTTTTTGCTAAAAAACTTTTTCAGAAAACACACAAAGGTTTAAAGAAAGAAGGATACTGAGAAATCACTGAATCTTAGTTTATGAGGGTGAAGTTATGGTCTATGAATGATGTCTCCATTTTTTTTTCTGTACAACTTTATTTACTATTTATTGCACATAACTCAAGATCTTTAACTGCTAACCACGAAAGGTTCAAAGGACTATTTTTTCATGAAGTTTAATGTTAACAGTAGTGAATTCATTTACTCATGTGGTGTTTTTTATTGTAAACATCTGAATGATTCACATTGCCACAGTTCCTGAACTCATAAGCGCAGACCATGCACAGGCTGGCAGCAAGCCAGAAAGCCACTCTGCAAGCAAACAGATACTCTGCATGAAGAGGAAATTCACAGCACAGATACTCTGCATGAAGAGGAAATTCACAGCACAGGCACTGCATAAAGAGGAAATTCACAGCGCAACATTGAACGTCCAACCTAAGTCATCTCAGAATGATACATATATATTGACTTTTTCATTCACACAGGATCTGGAACTCAACTGGTTGGTCGGTTGGTGATGGGGTTGACCTGATTTTGGAAGAATTGTTCCTGAAATAATTAAGGAAATGGGGGTTCAATCTCTCTTCTCAGTTGCTTGTTCCTCCCCAGCACCTTCAACTCCTCAGCACTCTTCAGCTTCTTTAGTTTCCTCTCCTTCTTCAACTTCGCCTCCTTCTTCCTTTGCTTCTTCAGACTCTTCCTTGGCAGCTTCTTCCTCTTCGGCTGCCTCCTCTTCCTTGTCCTTCTCCTCCTCCTTGGCTTCTCCTTCAGAGGGAGGCTCATCCTTGACTTCCTCAGCTTTAGCAGCCTCAATGGTTTCCTCCACTTCAATCTGCTCCTCTTGGACATGGCTGGTGCAGTAGGACGAGCAGGAGCGGGTGGACATCAGATAGGAGCTGGTCTGTAAACCGCCATAGGCATATCTACCAAAGACCTGGGAGCTCTGGGAGTAGCCACTGGTTATGCTTCCCACGCTGGTGAAACTGAGCCGGGTCTCCTAGCCTTCCAAGAGTTGCCTGTAAGCTGCAATCTCAATATCCAAAGCCATCTTCACGTTGAGGAGGTCTTGGTATTCTTTTAGGTATCGTGCCATTTAACTCTTTGTGGTCCTCAATCCATTTTCTAATTTGTTGATCGTGTCCTGCATATAGCGCTGATGTCTGCGTTCTGCTTGTCCTCCAGCTCCTGCAGCTGCTTCTCCAGCGCTTCGTTCATGCCCTGGCATGCTTCGATCTCCAGGGTCTTGGCCTTGAGCAGGCGGCGGCTCCCGGACACCTTGTCCTTGGCGGCGCGCACGGCGTCGGTGTTCTTGGCGGCGCTCTCGGTCAGCACGGTGAAGCGGCTCTTGAACCACTCCTCGGCGTTCTGCATGTTCTTGGCGGCCAGCTTCTCGTACTGAGCGTGGATGTCCTTGAGCGCGGCGGAGAGGTCGGGGTTGGTGGACACGTCCATCTCCACGGAGATCTGCGTGTACTGGATCTGCGCCTGCAGCTTGGCGATCTTCGTGCACTTTCTTCAGAAAAGCGATTTCGTCCATCAGGCTGTCGATGCGCTTTTCGAGCTCCACGCGGGCAAGTGCCGCCTCGTCAGCGCTTTTGCTCGCTTCCATTAGCCAGCCCTCGGCATCCTAGCGGCTCAGCACCTCCTCTTCATAGCGCGCCTGCAGGTTGCGCAGGGTCTCCTCCAGCCCTTCGCGTTCGCCCTGGAGCGCCTGCTTCTCGTTGGTGGCGTCTTCCACCGCCAGGCGCAAGTCGCAGATCTCCTGCTTGTACAGCGCCTGGAAGCTGGACGGTTCCGAGTGCTTCTGGCGCAGCACCAGCAGCTCCACTTCCATGACCTTGTTCTGCTGCTCCAGCTCGTGCACGCGCTCGATGAAGCTGGCGAAGCGATCGTTGAGATCCTGGAGCTGCGCCTTCTCCTGCGTGCGGATCGACTTGAGGTCGTTGCTGTTGGCGGCTACCTGACTCAGATCGAGGTTCTCCAGGCTGTGCATCAACAAGCTGGAGCTGGACGAATAGCTGCCGCGCACGGACAGCGAGGAAGAAACCGACGCAGAGTAGCTGGAGTAAGCGGAGCGCGCGGTGCTGCAGCCCCTGCGCACGCTGGAGATGTGCAGCCGGGGCGTCTCCGCTTAGCGCCGCTTGTAGGAGGTCGAGCAGTACGGCTTGAAGTTGAAGGAACTTACGGTGGCCGCCGGTGGCTCCCCGGTCCGCGGCGGCGGTGGGAGCCTGGAGAGAGAGAAGGACAGGGGAGAGAGGGAAGGGGGAGGATGGAGGGCTGTGTGCCGATGTCTCCATTTTTTTTAAAAAGGAAAAGTTCCCCGAGTAATCCCAATCTGGAGATGTAGACTGTTAAAATATCTCCCAGGCTGCCTGCTTTTTTGTTTGTTTTGTTTTGTTTTTTGACACTTACTCTCACTCTGTCACCCAGGCTGGAGTGCAGTGGCAGTATCTTGGCTCACTGTAACCTCCACCTCCCGGGTTCAAGCAATTCTCCTGCCTCAGCCTCCGGAGTAGCTGGGATCACAGGCATGCGCCACCAAGCCCAGCTGATTTTTGTATTTTTGGTAGAGTCAGGGTTTCACTGTGTTGGCCCGGCTTGTCTCGAACTTCTGACCTCAGGTGATCCACCTGCCTCCGCCTCCCAAAGTGCTGGAATTACAGGCATGAGCCACCGCGCCCGGCCAAGGCTGCCTGTTTCTAACTGGCTGTTTTTGATATAGTTTTGAATGTACTGAGAAGTTGCAAGAATGGCTCAAGGCACTTCATATACTCTTTATACTCAAATATACCAGCCGTTTACACTTGCCCTATGCTTTCTTTTATTGTTCTCTCTCACTCTCACTCCATCGTTCACTGTGTGTATACACATTTATGTGTGTCTATGTGTTTATGTATAAATTGTATGTGGATGTGTGTGTGTATCTACGTATACACAGAAAGATAGTTACTTACATGGCATATATACTATATATATTATTATGCAGTTATATATACACGGGATTTTATGTATGTAGCTATACATGTATACATATTGATTTATTTCCATCTCTTTGAAATTAAGTTAGAGACATTATGCCCTGTTAACCCTGAAGACTTCGGTGGATATTCTCTACTACCAAGGCCCTTTCTTCCCTCCCTCCCTTCCTCCCCCATCCCTTCCCTCTCCCTTCTCTCCCCCTTCCTCCTTCCCTCCCCTTCCCTCCCCTCCCCTCCCCTTCAGACCCCTTCCCTTCCCTCTTCCTTCCCTTCTTTCTTCCTTCCCTCTCTCTCTTTCTTTTTCTGAGACAGGGTCTGCCCTGTCACCTGGGCTGGAGTGCAGTGGTGCAATCATGCCTCACTGCAGCCTCGACCTCCTGGGCTTGACTGATCCTCCCTCCTTAGCCTCCTAAGTAGCTGGGTCACACCACCATGCCTGGCTAATTCTTTTGTTTTTTTAGATACAATGTCTTGCCTGTCACCTAGGCTGGAGTACAGTGATGTGATCACAGCTCATGTCCAGCCTCAAACTTCTGGGCTCTAGCAATCCTCCCACCTCAGCGTCCCAAGTAGCTGGAACTACAGTCACACATCACTAATTTTTTTTTTTTTGGCAGAGAAAGGGTCTCCCTGTGTTGCCCAGGCTGGTTTTGAACTCCTGACCTTAAGCCATCCTCCTACCTCAGTATCCCAAAGTGCTAGAATTATAGGCATGAACCACTGGCACCCAACAAAGCTGGTGCTGTGTCCTTCTGATACATTGCCATAATTCTTAGAGCTCCCTTACTTTCTGGCACAAAAAGATGCTCCAGAAATATATTATTTTCTGCCCAATCCTGGAGCCAACCTCTTCTCTAAGCAGTCCTGATGACTTTTAGTTCTTCCAAACATAGGTACTGTTAAAAAAAAAAAAAATAGGGGCCAGGCGCGGTGGCTCACGTCTGTAATCCCAGCACTTTGGGAGGCTGAGGCGGGTGGATCAGGAGGTCAAGAGATCAAGACCATCCTGGTCAACATGGTGAAACCCTGTCTCTACTAAAAATACAAAAAATTAGCTGGGCGTGGTGGCACACACCTGTAATCCCAACTACTCAGGAGGCTGAGGCAGGAGAATTGCCTGAACCCAGGAGGCGGAGGTTGCGGTGAGCCAAGATCGTGCCATTGCACTCCAGCCTGGGTAACAAGAGAGAAACTCCATCTCAAAAAAAAAAAATTGGCTGGGCATGGTGGCTCATGCCTGTAACCCCAACACTTTGGGAGGCCAAGGTGGGTGGATCACATGAGGTCAGGAGTTAGAGACCAGCCTGACCAACATGGAGAAACCCCGTCTCTACTAAAAATACAAAACTAAGACCAGGTGTGATGGCTCATACCTTTAATCCCAGCACTTTCGGAGGCCAAGGCAGGTGGATCACTTGAGGTCAGGAGTTCAAGACCAGCCTCGCAAAAGTGGTGAAAGTCTGTCTCTATTAAAAATACAAAAATTAGCTGGGTGTGGTGGCAGACACCTGTAATCCCAGCTATTCAGGAGGCTGAGGCAGGAGAATTGCTTAAACCCAGGAGGCGGAGGTTGCAGTGAGCCCAACATCATAACATTGCACTCCAGCCTGGGCAACAGAGCAAGACTCTGACTCAAAAAAAAATTAGCTGGACATAGTAGCACATGCCTGTAATCCCAGCCACTCAGGAGGCTGAGGCAGGAAACTCACTTGAATCCAGGAGGCAGAGATTGTGGTGAGCCAAGATTGTGCCATTGCACTCCAGCCTGGTCAACAAGATTGAAACTCTGTCTCAAAAAAAAAAAAAAATGCACCACACCCACAGATATATGCACTTTTCTGAATAATAATAGAATCATACTATTGATACTATTCTTTGATCTTTTTAAAAAAACTTTTAGCAATGAATTATGGGAATCTTTTTATGTTATCAAATACAGATTTTTGACATCCTTTTTAGTGTTAAATGTTTTTTATCTTATGGTTGTACCATAGATTAATTAACTAATGTCCTAAATTAAATAGGAGTGTGGTGCTGCAGTCAGGACTCACAGCAGCCTGAACTCCTGGGCTCAAGCGAGGCATCTAAGTTGTTTATTGTTTACCCTTATCCACAATCCTTCAAGTAAAGTGCTTTTCGTGCATGCACATCACACAGTCCTATGAGCATATCCCGAGGACAGTTTTCCAGAGGGAGGTTTGCTTACAAGAACAATTCAATGTCCACCTACTGTGTGCTAGTCATGATTTATCACACCGTGACTGTCCCTGAATATTATCTATTTTAAAAAAAATACTTGCCAGTTAGATCAGGTGTGGTGGCTCATAACTGTACTCTCAGCTTTTTGGGAGGCTGAGGCAGGAGGATTGTTTGAGCCTAGGAGTTTGAGACCAACCTGGGCCACATAGCGAAACCCCATCTCTACAAAGAAATTTGACAATTAGCCAGGCATGGTGGCAAGCACCTGTAGTCCCAGCTACTTGGGAGGTGAAGATGGGAGGATTCCCTGAGCTCAGGAGTTCAAGACTGCAGTGAGGCATGATTGCACCACTGCACTCCAGCCTGGGCAACAAAGCGAGATCCTGTCTCTAAAGAAAAAAAAAAAAAAGAAAGAAAAAGAAAAAATGTCATTTGAAGGCTAAAAGTAACATCTCATTGTATGATCTATAATCTTTTTTTAGTACTGGAGAGCTTGACATTTTTATAATGAACATTTACAATGCTTTTTGTGGATAATGTTCACTTTTAACAGTTTGTTTTTAAATTTTGAGATAATCTGTGACTTACAGAAGAGGTGCAAAAATAGCACAGAATGTTCCTTTTACCCAGTTTCCTGTTGGCTGACATCTTCCATAACTACAGAACATTTATCACCACTAAAAAGTCAAACTTGCTGCAATATTAAGTACCGGGCTGATTCAAATTTCATCATTTTTCCCCATTTCCATGTGCTTTTGTGTTCCATGATCCTATCCAGGATCCCACATTTATTAAGCGAATTTTTTCACTTTTCATTGATTTGTTGGAGATATTTATATATTAAGGACCTCAACTTTTTGTCTCGTCCCTTTGACAAAGTATTTCCATTTTTCTTTTTCACTTTGATGATGACGTCAAGAGATGGATGGTAGGTCACGTACGATGATGCTGGCATCCTGGCTTAAGGCAAGGGTTATAGGGCACAGACTGTATGCCAGATCCTCCACACACTGTTCTCACCTCCCCATGCCCTCCCAGAGTTTCTGGTTTCTCTAACACACATTGAGGAACGGCCACATGCCACCTTGTGAAACCTTGATATTTTATCCCACAAAGTTGTGCCTACGTTGAGTAGAGCCTACGTCTTAGACCATATCACAGTTGGTGAATTGTTTCAACATCTGTTGGGTGATGCAGAGTGAATGGGGCCCAGTTAGTCACCTCACTGAGGAACATGTCACAGTGTCCCCACCCTCAGGGAGAAGGGGAGGTGTCCCATCCCTGCAGGGTGGGGTGCAAATCCCTGCAGACGTGGGCATTGTGAGTGCAGCCAGGAACTGGGCTGCAGGTGTCCTGGCTTTGCTGAGCAACACCAGGGACCAGTGAGCGGTCCCCATGTCCCACCCAACAGCCTCAGACCTGTTCTCACCTGCTGTGGTTTGAGAATTCAGTGTCTCTCTGACCCCTTCTGGGTAACTTGTAAGTGAAGGATTTGACAGCTGGTGCTCCAGACCACCCAAGAGACTCTGCCATCAGTCTGTCACCCATGCCACTGGGCACTTTTAGAGAAACTCTGTTGGGGGAGAAGAGATGTGGATGCACAGATTAATCACTTTCAGGCTGCAGTGAAGGCACTTTTGGTGAGGGACATCACAGTGAGAGGGCAAGACTCTGTCTAAAAAATGAAAAAAAAAGAAAATTGGGCTGGTCACAGAGGCCCACACCTGTAATCCTGGCACTTTGGGAGGGTGAGATGGGAGGATCACTTGAGCCCAGGAGTTTGAAAACAGCTTAGGGAACATAGCAAAACCCTGTCTTTAGAAAACATTTGAAAAAATTAGCCAGGGTGGGACTGTGCTTCTGTAGTGTTAGCTACTCAGGAGGCTGAGGCAGGAGGAGTGCTTGCATTCAGGAGTTTGAGACCAGTCTGGGCAACCCCTGAGACCCCATCTGTAGAAAAAGTTTTAAAAATTAGCTGGACGTGGTGGTGGTGTGCACCTGTAGTCCCAGCTACTCAGGAGGCTGAGGTGGGAGCATTGCTTGAGCCCAGGAGATCAAGGCTGCAGTGAGTTGTGATTGCAACACCACACTCCAGGCTAGGCAGGGAAGCCAGACCCTGCTTCCTAAATAAATAAATAATAAAATAAAAAAGACCGTTTTTTTCTACTCAAGATGGCGCTGTGAGAACAACCCAGGATTGGAGCTCGCATTGAATCCGCAAACGGTGAGTCAGAGCTGCATTTCCAGACCGATCTTTGTTGCCCACAGAACGGGGAAACTCCCAAGTATAAAAAGACACGGAACGCCAGGCAGTAGGTCTGCCTGGCGAAGCCGGCAGCCGGGGCGGCGGCGGCCGGCCCTACCCAGCAATCCCCACAGGGCGTGATTGTCCGGGTGCCCTGTTGAACCGGCAACCTGAGACTTGAGAGGGCAGGACTTGAGACTGAATGAGACTTGGACAGTAGGCCAGCCCAGGGGATTGCAGGGACAGATCGTTTGGGATACCCAATGGGATGAACAAAACCGCGATTTCAAACTATCCCGAGCAGACGGTCCGAGACGCTCTGTGGGGGAGGGGCGTCCACCACTACCGAGGCAACCCGCCCCAACTGAGATACACGCCCACTGCTGACCCAGTCAGCCGTTGCCGAGGCAACCCGTCCCTACTGAGATACACACCCACTGCTGACGCAGCCTGCCGTTGCTGAAGCAACCCGTCCCTACTGAGATACACGCCCACTGCTGACGCAGCCTGCCGTTGCTGAGGCAACACGCTACAACGAAGAGACTCCGCCGCAGGGCGTGGCGGAGACCACAGCAGAGCCTGCAGAAACAGGGCGAATCACACAACAGCAGGGCGGAGGCTCGGCAGCCAAACAGTGGCTAGACTGCCTTCTAGCTGGGCAGGACACCTCATCGAACATCCAAAAATAAAGCCCAAACCCCTCAACACAGAACATTTGAGAAAAAAAAAGGGTTTTTTAATGAGCTCTGTTGCAGCAGAATCAAACATAGCAGCCTAACAGCCCTGAATGAACAACAGAGCACACAGCTCAGCAATTAAGCCCATATAAAGTACAAACTGTCTCCTCAAGCAGCTCCCTGACCCCTCTGTATCCAACAGACTGACATTAGGCAGGCATCATCCTGGGACAAAGATAGCAGAAAAAGAAACTGGTAGCATCCCTCGCTGTACCACAGCTGCTAGAGGTGCACCCCAGACAAGCAGGGTCTGGAGCGGACCTCAGCAGTCATACAGCAAAGGGGCTAGACTGGTAGAAGGAAAACCAAGCAACAGAAATACTTCATCATCAACATTCTGGGTGTCCACTCAGAGACCCAATCGAAAAGTCAGCAACTACGCAGACGACCAGCGGACAAATCCACAAGATGGGAAGAGACGAGCGCAAAAAGGAGGAAAACACCCGAAACCAGAACACCTCACCTCCTAGAAAGGACCAAAACTACTCACCAGCTAGGGAACAAAGCTGGACGGAGAATGACTGTGATGAAATGACGGAATTAGACTTCAGAAGACGGATAATGAGAAACTTTTGTGAGCTAAAAGATCATGTATTAAATCAATGCAAAGAAACTAAGAACCTTGAAAAAAGATTTGAAAAAAGATTTGAAGAAATGATAACAAGAATGGATAACTTAGAGAGGAATATGAATGAATTAAAGGAGCTGAAAAACACAATACGAGAACTTCGCGAAGCAAACACAAGTTTCAATAGCCAAATTGATCAAGCAGAAGAAAGAATATCTGAAGTCGAAGACCAACTCAATGAAATAAAACGAGAAACCAAGATCAGAGAAAAAAGCACAAAAAGGAATGAACAAAGTCTCCAAGAAATGTGGGACTATGTGAAAAGACCTAACCTATGTTTGATAGGTGTACCAGAAGGGGACGAAGAGAATGAATCCAAGCTGGAAAATACTCTTCAGGACATCATCCAGGAAAATTTCCCCCACCTAGCAAGACAGGCCAACACTCAATTGCAGGAAATTCAGAGAACACCACAAAGATATTCAGCAAGAAGAGCAACCCCAAGGCACATAATCGTCAGATTCAACAGGGTTGAAATAAAGGAGAGAATACTAAGGGCAGCCAGAGAGAAAGGTCGGGTCACCCACAAAGGGAAGCCCATCAGACTCACAGCAGATCTCTCGGCAGAAACACTACAAGCCAGAAGAGAGTGGGGGCCAATATTCAACATTCTTAAAGAAAAGAACTTTCAACCCAGAATTTCATATCCAGCCAAACTGAGCTTCAGAAGTGAAGGAAAAATAAAATCCTTTGCGAACAAGCAAGTACTCAGAGATTTTGTCACCACCAGGCCTGATTTACAAGAGCTCCTAAAAGAGGCACTACACATAGAAAGGATCAACCAGTACCAGCCATTCCAAAAATCACACTGAATGCTAAAGAGCTTCAACATAATGAAGAATCTACAACAACTAACAGGCAAAACAGCCACTTAGCATCAAAATGGCAGTATCAAATTCACACATAACAATATTAACCCTAAATGTAAATGGACTAAATGCACCAATCAAAAGACACAAACTGGCAAATTGGATAAAAATCCAAAACCCATCAGTGTGCTGTATCCAGGAAACCCATCTCACATGCAAGGATACACAAAGGCTCAAAATAAAGGGATGGAGGAAGATTTACCAAGCTAATGGAAAGCAAAAAAAAGCAGGAGTTGCAATTCTCATCTCTGATAAAATAGACTTTAAAGCAACAAAGATCAAAAGAGACAAAGAAGGCCATTACATAATGGTAAAAGGATCGATACAACAAGAAGAGCTAACGATCCTAAACATATATGGACCCAATGCAGGAGCACCCAGATACATAAGGCAAGTTCTTAATGACTTGCAAAAGGACTTAGACTCCCACACAATAATAGTGGGAGACTTTAACACTCCACTGTCAATACTAGACAGATCAACCAGACAGAAAATCAACAAGGATATCCAAGGCTTGAACTCAGACCTGGAGCAAGCAAACCTGATAGACATTTACAGAACGCTCCACCCCAAATCCACAGAATACACATTCTTCTCAGCACCACATCACACCTACTCTAAAATTGACCACATAATTGGAAGTAAAGCACTGCTCAACAAATGCAAAACAACTGAAATCATAACAAACAGCCTCTCAGACCATAGTGCAATCAAGTTAGAACTCAGAATTCAGAAACCCACCCAGAACCGCACAGCTTCATGGAAACGGAACAACTGGCTTTTGAATGTTGACTGGGTAAACAACGAAATGAAGGCAGAAATAAAGAAGTTCTTCGAAACCAATGAGAACGAAGATACAACGTGCCAGAATCTCTGGGACACATTTAAAGCAGTCTCTAGAGGAAAGTATATAGCAATAAGTGCCCATATGAGGAGAATGGAGAGATCCACAATTAACACCCTATCGTCAAAATTGAAAGAGCTAGAGGAGCAAGATCAAAAAAACTCAAAACCCAGCAGAAGACAAGAAATAACTAAGATCAGAGCTGAGGTGAAGGAGATTGAGACACAAAAAACCCTTCAAAAAATCAATAAATCCAAGAGCTGGTTTTTTGAAAAGATCAACCAAATAGACAGACCACTAGCCAGATTGATTAAAAAGAAAAGAGAGAACAACCAAATAGATGCAATAAAAAATGATAAAGGGGAAATCACCACAGATTCCACAGAAATTCAATCCATCATCGGAGAATATTACAAACAACTCTATGCACATAAACTAATAAACCTGGAAGAAATGGATAAATTCCTGGACTCCTGTGTCCTCCCAAGCCTAAACCAGGAGGAAGCCGAAACTATGAATAGACCAATAATAAGGTCTGAAGTTGAGGCAACAATTAAGAGCCTACCACACAAAAAAAGCCCAGGTCGAGACGGGTTCACAGCCGAATTCTACCAGACACACAAGGAGGAGCTGGTACCATTCCTTCTAAAACTATTTCAAACAATCCAAAAAGAGGGAATCCTTCCCAAATCATTTTATGAGACCAACATCATCCTGATACCAAAACCCGGCAGAGACCCAACGAGAAAAGAAAACTTCAGGCCAATATCCATGATGAACATAGATGCAAAAATCTTCAATAAAATATTGGCAAGCCGATTGCAACAGCAAATCAAAAAACTTATTCATCATGATCAAGTAGGATTCATCCCGGGGTTGCAAGGCTGGTTCAACATACGCAAGTCTATCACCGTAATTCACCACATAAACAGAACCAAAAACAAAAACCACATGATTATCTCAATTGACGCAGAGAAGGCATTTGACAAAATTCAACAGCCCTTTATGCTAAAAACCCTCAATAAACTCGGTATCAATGGAACGTATCTCAAAGTAATAAAAGCTATTTATGAC